AGCATTTGCAAGAAATGAAAAGGCAAATGAACAGTGCATTTGTCTCCTGACTCTGCAGCACAAGGCTTACTGCTCAAGGTATGGCTACAGAGTGAAGCCAGACAGAAATACTCACAAACATCCAGCTACTGGGCACACATGTTCATCACAGGCTAGTTAGACACTCTATGAAACAGGTAGTACTAGCCCAAGCGTAATGCCATGCTTGAATTAAACCAGCTTTTGCACGATGAGAAAAGTGGACATATTGCTACCGCTATTGAACCTATTAACAGAGGATCCCTATCGTACTAGCACAGCTAGATCTTAGCACGCTTCAACTTAAAACAAAGGTGTTCTGTGTTGAAAAATGAAATCAGTAGATTAAAAAGGCAAAAAGTAATTGTATGTTTAAATTATCTGAAAAGTAGTACAAGCTGGAGAAATAGATTCCTTTCTTGAACTGCCCCAAATTACCAAACTTATTAACAAGTTAACAGACTTAACAGGCTTCATAACAGTCTGTGAATTTCTTAGCTGGCTGACTGAGAAATCCACACGTGGAAACAACTGATACACAAGCAACAATTTGTGTGCAGGTAAGACAGTTATATCCCCAAATTAGGAAATCTAATTCAAAATGGATATCTGATGGCACCATATGATTTTGTACAGTGCACCTACATTCTCCCTCTGTTGTCTTGGGTAGCAATTACAGTCATGCGTTATGTGACCTATCTCCCTGAGATTGCACCCCTTAAATTAAGTCACCACATTGTATTTCATGTCCATTTAAAAATCTGTAATTCTATCCCCAAGAAAGCAAAAAAACCTAAATAATCAGATAAACTAAAAGCTTCTAGACTTCTCTATTTTCTGTACCTGTCATGAAGGAAACAGAAAGTGAGCAGGGAAACTGATTACTGACAATGTAATTTAGGCTCAGTTCTCATCATCTCATAAACCTTTACGGTGCTGTCAAAAACTCTTGACTGAATTATAAGCCTGTTATCAATCTTCTTCAATCCATTATCATATAAGTTATCAGTGTCTCTGTAGCCATTATTCTATGTACAAAACCAAGGTAAAATTACACTTTGATCATTTTGGCTGCATTGGAGTTTGCTTTTATTTCTGAAAAGTAAGTTTTACACAGGAGAAAACATTGCTTCTCTCATGCATTTCTTTACCTTTCCCAGAAGGAACTTTTAAAGATTTGAAAGTCCAAAAAAAAATTGAGCTTCCTAAAAGATGATAAGTAGGAAACAGTTTTACAAGTTCTCTAATTTATTTCATGCATCAGTTGTTACATTTTTTTTCCTAATATTGTAAAGGGATCCATCTACCAGAACAGAATTTCCATGTACTTGCACATTTGCACTCTCCAGTTCCCAGTACTCATACTGGAGAGGAGAACGACAAGCAATGAATATTTCACTGCATTAATAGATTTTAGAAATAAGTGTATTAGACAACTACATCTAATCCGTCTAACATGGAGTCACAAGCATTTCACAATGTCTCTCCACTTTCTCTTTTTCATCGCCTCAGACAGTTTAGATTAATTAATTAATTAATTAGTTTAGATGAATTCTATACTTTTAATTCATGAAGTAGTTATTACCTGCCAGTGACTACCACCTTTTGTTCATCTGAGGACTGAACATCACATACCTCTTACATTGGTAAGGATAGTGATGCAATTGCTCTGAATAACATCAGCCATATTGACCACACCGAAGGCCAGATGCCCGGTAGACTTTTAAATCATTTGATAAAAGGTGTTTGCTAAATTGTATGTGCAGCTTCTAAAGCTGCCCTTGAAACACTGATTCTGGGAAACTAATTTTATAAACTAAATCAGAAGAGTTTGTGTAGCCTGCCTCCTGGGTCACAGCAAAAATAAATTAAGTGCTGCCCTCCAGAGAAGCGAGGAAATAAAATAAACAATGCCAATATTTGTCTTTTTGACTTTGTAGACCACTCTAACATGATGTTGCTTCCAGTTTTCTACATGATACACAGCCATATACACATCTCAAAATTTTTCCCATCGTATGTAACTGAGCCATTACACAGTAGCCTACACAGTTTTATTGGCTTTCAAGCCAATTTGAATATGAAACTGCTAGAGGAGAACAAACAGCTTTCTAAGAGAAATACTGGCCTCTTGGGACTCAGGCCTGTAAAGATTTACACGTGCAGTTAGTTTTACACCCAAAGGCTACCCACAACATATAGCAATGGGTAAGCCTGTGCACTATAAGGCATTTAGAAACCACTGTGAAAATTCCCCTCGATTTTAACAGAACAATGATTGGGACTAAATACATTGATTTAGTCTTTGGGTTTGAATTCACTCACCTTTCTGGATCCTTAAATTTGACTCCTTTGCTTGTTCAGGATCTAAATCTTCCCAGTTCCATCCTGATTCCTTTTTACCTTTTAAGTTCAACCTCTTTTTCAGCCCCCTACCTTTGCTATTCTGAAGGAGGAGGAAAGGAAAGAGGAGACCTGCCTCTGCGTTTTTTGTGCTGCAGTCAATGTTTCTACACAATGTCCACTCCTAGTGTGAAACTAATGTTTATCCTTATTTTGGTTTCCTTCACATCATTTCTGAACTGCTCCTCATCAAACAAACCGCCTTACAGTGAAAAGCTGGAGAGGGATTTAATTGTTGTTTGCATTTCCTCAGAGCAGAACATGAACATGGCCAAACCAGATCTCACACAAGCGTAACCCACTTCAGCATTGCCTGGAAATCACCAGTAGCAGATGTTTGGCAGGGGGGGAAAGTAGAAATCAGCCAAGAAGAGCCTAACACTTCTCCCTAAATTTCCCTCCACCCATCCTCCAGTAATCAGCAGTTTAAGGACCTGGAAAACATTGATAGCATCTTAAACTGGTTAGGTTTAGCAGACTATTTTAATTTCTCTGTGAACAGCAAGTCTTGGAGCAGCCACCACACAGAGCAGCCAGTTATGCATCCAATATAAGAAACAATGTCATGCCTGGGAGTCCTTTCATGGGTCTTTAAAATACGTTCATATGGTGCTCCACACATAATATAGACCTACATTCCTGTCAGATAGTTATGACCATAGCAATATGCAGTGTTGTTCACAGACTTCCCCATACTCTTTTTACAGAAAAGCAGACAGTGGGACAAATTAAAGCTAGTATATGAATTTGACTGTCAAGATGCACTTTGCTTCCACTGAAAGTAGCAATTTGCAGCCTTCCACTTATCGCCACTGGGCAAAGTGCCTTTTGGGATCATGTCCTCCTTCACCTATCAGAATAAATATGAACAGAATTTAGTTAGTTACTTCAAAACTAAAACAGAGAAGCTTGGTCCTGTTAAACGGCTGTTAAGGTATTTTCAGTGATAGTACTCCTAGAACATTATTGCTAAAAACTGGCAGCAGTCTGATTTAATCTGTTGTGAGAATATTTTAATTCCATGATAAGACACCTTATAATCCAAACAAGAAAGTTACAATAAGCAGTTATCTTACTTCAAATGGAAGCTCTGTTATTTCCAGATTTCCAGACAAATCCAGTTTTTCCAGATTCTCGCAATCACCCAGTTCCGGAGGGACGGACTTCAAGTTATTAAAACTCACATTGAGCACTTTGAGGTTTTTTAAGC